AAGGGTCAGGTCTGCCCTCCCCCTGTGCTATGAGCACAATATGAACCCCAGCCCGATAGGCCTCCGTGGCGATTGTTTTTTTGAACTACTTAGAAGCTGCTCACGTGACACGCCCAGAAATGCGGCTCTGGCTGGGGCCGCAGGCGGAGAAGTGAGGGGCCGGGCAAGAAGGACAGTTGCCAAGGTCCGATTCTTGCAACGTGCAATCCCCCGGGCCTGTCCTTGAGGGGTGCTCGATTCCTGCCCTTGAGGGGTGCTCGATTCCAGGCCAAAGAAGGTGCCTTGCTTAGCCCCGGGCTCCTCCGGCCCCAAGGGGACACCAGTCAGCAGCCCCCCTCAACTCCCCGCACCCCTACAAAGAACCAAAAGTCGGGCATTTCTCCAAGCCAGAACTTGGCACGCTGCAGCACCCAGACAGCTGCATTCCAGGCGTATTTGCAGCTTCCCACCAGTCGGGAACGGCAGGAACCCCATCTAAATAATACTGCAAAGGGAACGGCGTGACCAGAATTAAACACATCCAAGAGACGTGTGCCAATGCACCTACCGCACGTTTTTTTGACTGCTGGGGACAGGGGGAGCGACTGGGCGACACAGCCCAAACCCCTCGTTTGGAAAGCCCCATGCTTTCTGTCCTTATCGGGAGCCAGGCTGACTCCTGACTGGCCTGTGTTCTCCAGCAGGGATCCTGAGCCTGCCGAGGGTCCAGAGTTTGGCTGGCTGCCAGTGGAATCCACAGGCAGGCCCAGCTTGGGGTTTGCCTACAGTGGCGGAGGAAGGCAAGGTCCAAGTTCAGCCCCCCCCCAGGGCAAGGCCCACGAAAGGTTAAAGGTAAAGGTAAAGGCTTCCCTTGCTCGAAAGCCAGTCGAATCCGGCTCTAGGGGGTGGTGCTCATCGTTTCCAAGCCGAAGAGCCAGCGCTGTCCGAAGATGTTTCCGTGGTCATGTGGCCGGCATGACTAGATGCCAAGGCACACGGAACGCTGTGACCTTTCCACCGAAGTTGTACCTATTTATCTACTTGCAATTTCTTGCTTTCAAACTGCTAGGTTGGCAGGAGCTGGGGCCAGAGACGGGAGCTCACTCCGTCACGCGGCACTTGGCACTCGGGTCTCAAACGGCTGAGCTACTGACCTTCCGGTCTGCAGCTCAGCATCTTAACCTCTGAGCCACCACGGCCCCAGGACATGAAAGGTTAGGCAGCCGTTAAAGGGGCTGGTCTTGCAGGTGCCACGAGATCAGGGGTCCCCCACATTTTGGAGCCTGCGGCCTCCTCTGGAGTTCTGACATGGGGCGGTGGGCACCATCACAAAATGGCTGCCACGGGAGGCGGAACCAATCATAAAATGGCTGCCGGCAGGAGGACCGCACAATGTCAGGGAGAGAAGTATCGCCTAACTCTAATAGTAACAATTCCACATATCCAGGCAGAAACTCTGTTTAACGGGATACTTTTTAATCTGCACAGCTGATCCCTGCTGGGCAAACGCCCCACCTAGCCCCTCCCGCTTTCTAAAAGCACTTGGCAGGTGCCAGGAACGGTGTGAGCACGCTCCATGGTGCCCATGGCCAGCACGTTGTGGACCCCTGCACTGGACTCTCTGCTGTTTCAGCTTCAGCAGGCCACCCCCCACCCTGACTAAGGCTTACATACAGTTCCCAAGCCAATCAGGAGCCTGATCTGATCAGAGCCAATCAGGAGCCTGATCTGACAGCCAATTACGGCCTTGGGGTGTGCGGCAAAGAATGGCAGAGAGGGCTGGGCGAAGCTCCATGCGTGCTTGCATTCTCGAGGGGCACTGAGTTCTAATTACGCCGGAGACAACCCCAGCAGTAGCCAGGAGGGCTAGAAACTTGCTGCTGAACAAAAACAGCGAAGGCAAAAAAGAGTTCTCGGGATTCAAGTCACGTTCTCAGCCCAACTGGCAACCTCACAGCCAAACCGACTGACAGAGCCAGAATACAGTCTGCAAGGCCTCGCCAAGCTTTGGAGGCAGAGCCGCTTCCCTGGGCTTTGTCTCCTGAACTGGACAGACCCGTGGAACTCTGCCCCCTTCCCCTACAATCCCCCCACACACACTGCACTCCCCACAACACCTCTTTGTCTCCATTTCCAGCTCCTGGATGCTGCTTCCCCTACGCCTCTTTGCCTCGCAACTCCCCTCACCTGCTCCAGATAGTCTTCCCTTTCAGCAACTCAGCGGGAATCCAGAAGGGCTTGCCTGTCCAAAGGCCTCTTGCCTGGAGGCATGCAAAGCTGTTTGTGTCTCACACACACCCCAGGCTGAGAGCCCCTCAGCTCGAGGAAGAGAGAGAGAGATCTTCTCTTTGCTTGCCAGGAGTCATGTTCAGAGACTGGCGCACCGCGCAGCGACATGACAAACATCTAAAGATCCAAAGCGGGGCAGAGGAGAGCCGGGCGCCAGGAGCCTGCCAACTAATAACAGAGAGAGAGGGGAAGGCTCCCGGCCAGCAGGGGAGAAGCAGGCTTGGGGCAGGCAGGTTCAGAGGGAGCCGATTTGCAGGCGGCTTGCCTCCCGTCCTAGCCCAGATTTGGCAATTTCAATTTCAGCCTTGCATGGGGAGCGAGCGGGGAAAGAGGAGGGCTTGTTGATTGATGGTGGAAAAGCCGTTTTGTTTCTACCTAACGTATAATTAAACCTGTCAAAAGGAACTGGGTGACAGAGGATGTTATTGAGGTAAATAGCTGCGAAATAGACAAAAAAAAATTGATGAGGTGTTTTGATGAATAAAAAACAGCCGCCAGAGCCGTGGCCGGAGCCGATTGCTTTTGCTGACCGGCAGATGGGACCCCCCCTTCAGAGAAGGGCACGGGGAGAGGCCTCCTCCTCCTCCTGCAGCACAAGAGGCGTGAGAAATGAGAAGAAAAGGAGAACGACTGTAGCTCAGGACCTTCTCCCCACCACAGCCAGCATGGTACAGTGGTTAAGAGTGCCGGACTGAGATCTAGGAGATCCAGGTTCGAATCCCCACTCTGCCAATGGAACCTTGATGGGTGACCTTGAGCCGGTCCCACTCTCAGTCTAACCTACCCCACAGGGTTGTTGTGAGGATGAAACAGAGGAGAGGGGAATGGGGTCAGCTGTTCTGGGTCCCCATTGTGGAGAAAGACAGACATATAAATTAAATTCAGGTGGGGTCGCCGTGTTGGTCTGAAGCAACAGAATGAAGTCTGAGTCCAGTGGCACCTTTCAGACCAACAAAGTTTAACTCTGGGTATAAATTTTCATGTGTATGCACACGAAAGCTTATACCCAGAATTAAACCTTGTTGCATGCACACGAAAGACTATACCCAGAATTAAACTTTGTTGCATGCACACGAAAGATTATACCCAGAATTAAACTTTGTTGGTCTTAAAGGTGCCACTGGACTCAAACAGTGTCATAGAAATTCAAGTAAGTCTCCACCACAGAGCGCTATGGGATATGTGAAGTCCAGCTGCAAGTGACGCAGTTGCAGCGCCGACATCAGGTCTCTCGCAATGCAACATGAGCTCAAAACGCATGCATCCAGGTGGGAAGGGGGGAGTTTGGATCAGTGCCATATCCTGGACTGTGTGTGCGGGGGGAGGGGGCACTTTTTTCCTACCTTTCCACTACTTTCCCCCCTGTCTGATAGCGATTTTGTGGAAGACAACTTTTCTGGACCCCCTCCTGTCTCTGCACCATGGCCCTAATTCAAATCAAGCCCACCGCCGCCACCACCACCGCTTGTTGTGTCTAAAGTCCACATCAGGAGATCTGATCGGGGATGCCCAGCGTTACAGCTCACAGTTTGGTGTAGTGGTTAAGTGCGTGGACTCTAATCTGGGAGAACTGGGTTTGATTCCCCACTCCTCCACTTGCACCTGGCTGGATGACCTCGGGCAAGCCACAGTTCTTGTCAGAGCTGTTCCCTCAAAGACAGTTCTGGAAAGAGCTCTCTCAGCCCCGCCTACCTCACAGGGTGTCTGTTGTGGGGAGGGGAAGGGAAAAGAGTTTGTAAGCCGCTCTGAGACTCCGAGTGAAGGGCCGGGTATACATCCAATCTCTTCTTCTTCTTCTACATGGCTGGATGAACTTACGCCCTCCACAGGTCATCAGGTGACAAAGCAAACCACTTAGAACGGCCTGGGAAAATTTGCCCTCCTGCAGCTGGCTAACTATTCAGCCACAGAGGGGCTTCAGGAGTCAGAAGAGCCCATGGGGTTGGCATGTGTTTCCTCTCCACCCCCACCCCGGCTACAGCCACACCCTCCAAAGAGTAATTAACACGTGGCATTCACTGCCGCAGGAAATGGTGGCAGCTACAAGCTAGACAGCTTCAGGAGGGGATTGGAGACACATCCGGTGCAGAGGTCCAGCGGTGGCTGTTAGCCACAAGGTATGGAAGGAACACTCTGTCTGGGGCAAGTGATGCTCTGTGTTCTTCGTGCTTGGGGGGCCAGAGTGGGAGGGCTTCTGGAGTTCTGGCCCCACTCCTGATGGCACCTGGTATTCTTGGCCGCTGTGTGACTAGATGGGCTGCTGGCCTGATCCAACATGACTCCTCTTATGTTCAGGGGTCATTTCCTAATAAGCCCCACCCCTTGCTCCCAGCAGCCCTCAGTCAGAGCAAGAAGCAGCCAGGTAAGCTGCAGAGCCCCCCCACTGGACCCCCGGTCCAAAACAGTCCAGTGGCACCTTTAAGACCAATTTTACTCAGGTACTAGCTCTCCCTCCTCTGCGAGGGCAGATCTGCATGTCCCCCCCCCCCCAATAGCTAGCAATCCAAAACGGTTCAGTGGAGCCTGAGCGGTGGGTCTTGCCTTCTGACACACGTCCGGTGATGCCGGGGTGTGTGGCCTATGCAAATATGTTATGCTAACGAGTTATGCTAATGAGCTCCTGCACCTCTTTTTCTACGAAATGACCCCTGCTTATGTTCCTATGTTCTCATCAATCCGGGATGCCTGAGCTCTGTGTTAACTACTGGGCAGTCCTGGAATAGGAGGCATACCTTCAGGGGCTTGTCGATGCGCCGGCGCAACCCGCGCATCCAGTGGGCCAAGCCCGAGTAGTGGCACATGTGTGGGGGCAGGAAAGGGTTCTTCTTGCTCAGCTCCTTGTTGACCAGGGAGAGCTCCCTGTTGAACAGCATGTAGATGTCCACCGTCTTCTTGTCGAAAGTCCGCTTGATGGCCTGGCAGAGAGGAAAACACGGAGGAGGAGCAGGCCATCTTCCCTCTCTTCCCCATTCGAGAAGGGGCCTCTGACCCTTTTAAGCCTGTGGGTACCACCCGGAGTTCTGACACGGTGTGGTGGGCACACTGACAAAATGGCCGCCACCGAACAGCCGCCTCAGCTGCAGAATGGCTGCTGCGGCTCCACCCAGTGAAGATCCTCGTGCTGTGGCAGCAGCCAGCCACACCTCCAGTGGCCAATGAAAAGCCATTCCTTGGGGGACGCCTGACCTGGCCCCGCCTACTTTCTAAAGACACTGGAGGGAGGAGCCAGAGGAGGCGTCAGGAGGCACCATAATGCCTAGGGGCACAACACTGAGGAGCCCTACACCGGAGTGAGGCATCCTCTGACGCAATCCTGCTGTTCCTGAGCACCTCTCCTCAGGGCTCCTCTTAAGGCTCCAAGAACCTGCGGCCCACAGACCTGACCAACTGCAGCAGAAACCAGCTCAGAGTGCATCTGAGAGAGCTGAGCCCCCTGCCAGGGGACCGGGGCCAAACGCCTGGGTAACGAGACCGGCCAGGAGCTTAAGCCTACACGGAAGCTGTCCGCCTGAAGGTGCTTCCCACCGAGACAGACCCTCGGTCCACCTAGCAGTTTGGCTTCCTGTGGCTGGCAGGAACTCAGGGAGGTCCCAGGCTGACAACAGTATCTGCCAGCACCTTCAGCCTGACAGCCTTCAAATGGAGATAGAAGAAACTGGCTCTGGGACCTTCAGCGCTCCCCCATTTTAGCCACTGTCCTTCCTCTGGCCCTGCCCCATGGGGATGTGGAACCATTCTAGAGCTAGTTCCATGGGGAAGATTCACAGAGGAGAGGTCTATCAGTGACTACTAGCCACAGTGACAAAACCCCCACATTCAGAGGCAGTCAGCCTTTGGATCCCAGTACCAGGCGGCCACTTAGGGGAAGGCCTCAGCCTCCATGTGCCCTGTCGTTGGCCCTCCAGAGGGACTGGCTGGCCCCTGTGTGAGTCGGGAGGCTGGACTGGATGGACCCTCCCTGGCCTGACCCGGCAGGGCCCTTCTGATGTCCTTATGAAGGCCTCGGCCTCCCTGCCCTGTGGTTGGCCCTCCAGAGGAACTGGCTGGCCCCTGTGTGAGGCGGGACTAGATGGACCCTCCCTGGTCTGACCCAGCAGGGCTCTTCTGAGGTTCTCCTCAGGGGAAGGCCTCGCCCTCCATGCCCTGTCTTTGGCCCTCCAGAGGGACTGGTTGGCCCCTGTGTGAGACACAGGAGGCTGGACTGGATGGACCCTCCCTGGCCTGACCCCGCAGGGCTCTCCTGATGAGAAGAGGGGAGCACTGAGGCACACTCTCAGGTCTTGCACATTCCCCGAGGATGAGCCCCGTCGTTCCAGGGAGTGAGTGCAGTATTCAGGGCTGAGCCTGGGGGACAACCACCAGCTTAAGCCATACCTCTCGCGAGGACAAGTGATGGAAGATGTCCTGGATCTCCACGCCCCGTTCAACGTCCTTCACCGTCTCGAAGGCAGAACTGATCAGGTTCTGGGTCATCACCTCCAGATCTTTGATACCCGCGCGGAAGCTGGTGTGGCATCAAGCAGGCAGGTACAGTGAGAAGGGGAAACGTGTTGACAGGAGATGATAAATGGGCCGTTCTTTGACTGGACAGGTCCACCGTGGTGGCCACCTATCCTCTGGAAACTACGCTCTTTCCTGACCCCCCCCCGCACCCTTTCAAACCCCAAAGCAAGAGGAAGGGGGCCAAGCAGGAAAAAGCCGATCGGCTGGCCGACTTCAGGCAGCCGGGGATGTCTCTTACTGGTTGAAATCCTCATGCCAGCAAGTGTTCTTCACATCCAGGATTCCCCCTTTCACGTTCCGGAGACTGTTGAGGTTCTTCTGGAAGGTCTCCTCTATCTCCAGCAAGCTCCGAGCCATCTGCGGACCACGCTGGCCAAAGAAGCAGGGCAGTGGAGTCTGCTTGCCGTCTTCCCAGCGGGCAAAGTGCTGCTGACCATCACAGACCTGTCGGCGGGAACGGACGTCTGTCATTACCCTTGGCCCTTCCTGCCCACCCTTGCCTGCATTCAGCCTGAGGTCTCACGTCAACACACATGAAGCTGCCTCATACTGAAGTGGACCCCATGGTCCAAGGCAGCCGCTCTCCAGGATCTCAGGCGGAGTCTTCCCATCACCTATGGCCAGATCCTTTAAGACTGGAGAGGCCGGGGATTGAACCTGGGACCTTCTGCATGCCAAGCAGAGGCTCTGCCACTAAGCCACAGCCTCTCCCCAGTGTTTGCAGATGAAGCTGCCTTGTACTGTATCAGACCTTTCAGTCCATCAGAATCGATATTGTCTACTCAGACTGTCAGCCGCTCTCCAGGGTCTCAGGCAGAGGCCTTTCCCATCACCTGCTGCCTGCTCCTTTTAACTGGAGATGGTGGGGATTGAACCTGGGACCTTCTGCGTGCCAAGCAGAGGCTCTGTCACTGAGCCACAGCCACTCTCCCTATCGTCATTGGGTTTACTTGGGGAACACTAAAAGCTACAGAGAGCCAGGAGGTGCCCCCACACACACACACTTCTGTCCAAGCAACAGATGTAGAGGATATCCCAGACCAGAATGCAGGGCAAGAGGGCAGCTCTGCCATCCCCTTCCTTCCCGGCATGACAATCCATATTGCCGCAGCCCCCATCCCGGCCTTCGATGGGAGACACCACACCCACCTCCAAGAGGTCCTTGCATCGCTGGACGAAGGCATCCACCTGGGCGAAGATGCTGGTCTGGTCCAGGACCCAGCCTTTCCCAGAATGCCTGGCAGAGAGAGGAGGAGGCACGCAGTTAAGGGCACTCACACACACTGCATCAGGGCTCCCCAACCTTTTTGAGCCTGAGGAATTCTGACACAGGGTGGTGGGTGCAATCACAAAATGGCTGCCTCGGGAGGCAGAGCCAATCCTAAAATGGCTGCCTGTCGGAGGACCACAAACTGTCAGGGTGAGAGCCTGGTTAGACGTCACTCAGATAGCAACCATTCCACACTTCAGGCTGAAGCTCTGTTTAACAGGATGCCTTTTAATCTGCACAGCCAATCAGAAGCCGGGTGGGCAAATGCCTCACCGAGCCCCTCCACTTTCTAAAAGAGAAGAAGAGGAGGAGGAGATTGGATTTGTGCCACGCCCTTCACTACCCAAGGGAGTCTCAGAGCGGCTTACAAACTCCTTTCCCTTCCCCTCACCACAACAGACACCCTTGTGAGGTAGGTGGGGCTGAGAGAGCTCTGAGAGAACTGCTCTTGAGAGAACAGCTCTGAGAAAACTGTGGCTGACCCAAGGTCATCCAGCAGCTGCAAGGGGAGGAGTGGGGAATCAAACCCGGTTCTCCCAGATTAGAGTCCACACACTTAACCATGACACCAAACTGGCTCACATGGTACGAGATTTCAAGAGTTAAAACTCCATTTCCAAAGTGGAGCTTTGACTCTCGAAAATGCATACCCCGAAAATCTTGTTGGTCTCGAACGCGCTACTGGACTCGAATTGAGCTCTTCTAGTGCCGACGAACGTGGCTGTGCTCTGGAACTCTCTTTATATGAAGCAAGAAGGAGACACCCTGTGAGGCAGGTGGGGCTGAGAGAGCTCTGACAGAAACGGCTCTCTTTCAAGAACAGCTCTTGTCAGAACCAATGCTCCCTCTAAGCTGTGGAGACATGTGATCAAAAATTCTACTTTGTGAGCTACTGGCATTCAAGTTGTGAGTGAGCGATTCAGCTGCTGCAGAAATCAGTTTGCTCTGGAGCCCCATCCTCCCTGAGCTAAGACGAAAATGTGTAAGCCGGAGGCTAAAAAGCTGTGAGCTAGCTCACACTAACTTGGCTTAGAGGGAACACTGGCCAGAATGATGGCTTGCCCAAGGTCACATCAGCAGGTGCAAGTGGAGGAGTGGAGAATCAAACCCGGTTCTCCCAGATTAGAATCCGCGCACTTCACCACTACACCAAACTGGCTGCACAACATGTGTGAAAGAGCCACATGTGGGTCCCGAGCCACAGTTTGGCCACCCCTGCCATAAAGGATTGTGCCTCACCTTTGGAAAGCAAAGAGATGTTATATGTTGAGGGAAAGCAGTAGATTATCCCAGGGATCCCCAATGGGATGCCAGCAACATCTTTCCTGAAGCCCACCATGTGTTTTTATAAAGTGAGCAAACTCCTTTCCCTTCCCCTCCCCACAACAGACAGACTGTGAGGTAGGCGGGGCTGAGAGAGCTCTGACAGAAAGTGCTCTTTTTTCAAGAATAGCTCTGACAGAACTACGGCTTGCCCAAGGTCATCCAGGCAGGTGCAAGTGAAGGAGTGGGGACTCAAACCCGGTTCTCCCAGATTAGAGTCCGCGCACTTAACCACGACACCAGATTGGCTCTTGGTGGGCACCAGAAAAGGTGTCAGTGGGTGCCATGTCGGGGACCCCTGTTCTACATGGCTGGGGCGAGGCATCCTAGCCCATGCTCATTCCGCAGGGCTAACCACACACCGGGAGGAGGAGAGCCAGGCGATCCAGACAGGAGACGATGCGCTGAACTTACACGGACGTGAGGAAGATGCACGGCACTCTCGCCCAGCAAGGGTACGAGCACAGAAGCCGGAGCCAGTCACCCCTCCCCTCCCCCTCTCACTGTCTCTCTTTTTCTCTCCACCACGCAACCAAGTGGGTTCTGGGAAAATCATCTAATCAAAGAGGCCTGAGAACATGCAAGGCCTCACCCCAGGAGCACAGCTGAAGTGCCTAATCCACGCCCGGCTGCGTCTGCCTTGCGCCAGCGTGGCTCGCGCGATCAAACGTCTTTATATCTTTTACGATATTGATCCGGCCCCACTAATTTAAATTTGAAGCAGACAAGTAACACTTAGACTTAATTGTCAAGGAGCAGGGACCCACTTAAGCCTGACATTCCTAATCATAATGATGGATTATGTTGCATTCTTTCTGAAGCAGAGCTCAGAGAATCGGGGAGGAAAGAGACGGGGCCCGGAGAAGCCAAGGACTGGCTGCCGGAAGGACTGGGGACAAGGGAGGGAGGAAGGCCGGAAGGCTTCGACAGGGCAGGGCTCGGTTCCAAGGATCTCCAGTCTGCAGACAGGGAGGATGCCGGTTGCCTGACGGGGCTCGCAGAGCAGTGGAAAGCATGAGCAACTTAAGTAGTCCATGTGGCAGCCTCTCACTCAAAATACGGGAGAGTCAGAGGTGGGAGGGATATAAGAACATCAGAAGAGCCCTGCTGGGTCAGCCCAGCGAGGATCCATCTAGTCCAGCATCCCGTCCCACACAGGGGACAACCAGTTCTGTAGTAGAGATGGGACTATATAGATTTTTCTCTTTTTGATTATTCATATTTCTCTGGTTTTTATAGGTTTATTATAGATTTAACATGTATATTGGAAGGTAATGAAGGCCTGGTATATAGGAGGCCTTCTTTGTGGCGTCAGGGTATTTTTCCAGTTGAGGTTAACAGACAAGACAATAACATTCTTTTGCCACAAAAGAAGGTAGAAGGTTCATGGTTCTAATTGTTTAGGTTACAACTTCATAGTGTCTGGGTCAAAAGGAGCTTTTACTTGGTATCAGAGAAAAATACTTTTGTTTGGGGTGAGAACAAGCTTTAGCCGATATGGCTTAGGTCATGTCAAGTAAA